CAGAAAGCAGAAGAAGAAAGATGCCGCAACCTACTGGCTTTACCCATTGGTGTTACCGTTGTAACCTTCGCTTTGCAGGCCAAGGCCAGCTACCTATTTGTCCTTGCTGCAATGACAGATTCATAATTCGACTATCAGACCAGGAAGCCAACTACTACAACCGGTATTTCGAGCCACGAGTTAGAGCTTTGACTTCCGATAATGGCGATAGAAGAAGGAGATCAAGACTGGAGGTTGCTATTGACACTTTCATGCGAAATGTTATGGGTTCTCCAGACCCTGCAGACATGCGCCTGCATATCGGTCCTGCACCCTTCTCTCTGGATCGTAATCATGACAATAACAATACTAATGGATCAAATACTAGTAATGATCAAGAGCCTCTTACTATTGGATATGTTGTTCAGACGATATTAATGAATCGTATTATTAGTGCTGCTTATCCTCCAGCACCTCAAACGGCTATTGATGCAATGCCGACTAGTAGGATAACCAGCAAACATCTCGAAGGTGACAAGTACTCCCATTGTCCGGTCTGTAAAGAGCCATTTGAGTTGGGGGTAGAGGTAAGGATGATGCCATGTGAGCATATCTATCATGAGAATTGTCTTCTTCCATGGTTGAAGATACACAATACTTGTCCTGTATGTCGATATGAGCTTCACGAAACTGGCGGATGTCCAGCTGGGACTCTGAGGGGAACTAACACTTCTGTTAGAAGAGAAAATAATAATAGGCGTGGTTGGAGGAGATTGTTCTCATGTGTGAGACCTTGAGTTCTAGTTCTTGGTGAAAATGGCAGAAGCATGTTGATCTGACACCATCTTCTAAGAGTTCCTCATTTGGTGAATTATCTTTATGGATCGTTTATGGGTTAAACGGTTTCTATTTAGGTTAAGCTTACTTTTAAAAGATTTTACAATAATGTATGGATGGTTTTATGTTATTTTATTAGTTATTTTTTTTAAGTAGGCTTTGAACTTTGATGTATGAAAAAATCTTTATCTATTCTATAAATGTTTAAATTTAGATTTGTAAATATATATATATATATATATATTGTCATTATATCTTGTTCCTTGCTCTAATTAAGATTCTATAAGAAAAAATTATGCTTATAATTACAAGATCCTAAACTATGAATAATAAAAAAATATTTAACCATTTATATAAAAGAGTTTAAACTATGTACTACAAAAACTTTAACTCATAACTTAATTTCTTTTATTTCTATTATCAATTTAAAATAAATAAATTTATTTTTTTAAAAAATAAATATGTAATAATTTTTAACAAAATATTTATAAATAATATTTATAGTAAAAAGTATAATTTTAAGTTTTTTTTTTGAGGAAATGCAATTAAGTAGAAATTTAGTGCAATTGTAATTTATATTATAAATTTTAAAAATGTTGTTAAATAATTATTAATTAAAAATATTTTTAATTGATAATTATTTAGTATTTAATAAAAATAATTTTAAAAAATACTATTATTTTAAAAAATAAAAATTCTGTATTTGATAAAAAATAATTTTTGGAGTTTTAAAGTTAAATTTTTAATAGAAATTTAAAATTATTTTTGAAAAATTGTATATTATAATTTTTAATTTTATCCTATTAAAAATAAATTATAACTAATTATTACTAAGAGTAAATTTTAACTCTAATTATTACTAAAAAGACTTTATGTAATAAGAAACTGAGCCGGACCACCCTAACCAACCCGCCAGCACCAGCAGTGAGGACGACGATCCAGAAGTGAAGTAACCTGCGGAGCTCTGGTTTGAATTTCTAAAACTGAAAGCAAAAATGGAAGTTCAATCTCGACGAGATGAACCAGAACAATCGTCTTCGGCGGGCTTCAAAGCCCTAATATCATTATATTCTAGTTACTTTTGGAACCGGCTCACCGCGATCCTTCCTTCTTCCGATTTGAATTTTCTCTGGAAAATCTCGAATCTCTATCGCCGAATAGCTCGTCGAAAACGAAGACCTTACCTCCCTCTTCCTCTGCCATCCAGCTCGCTGGACTCTTATGTGTGCGTATTCCTCACTTCGGTTTCATTTCTATCTCAATTTGAGAATGATAATGGTACGATAATCTCTTGTTTTCTCGGAAACTAGTCAAGACCGATGTTCTCCTAGTGTTTCCGTTTATCTTATTTTGAATTCATTTGTACTCGCGCTTTGATTCAGTGCTTTTACTAAGTCAATTAGTTGTGTTCGGGAGTATGTGAGGATTGAATGTTTTCATGCTTTGTCATTTTGATCTCCCTAGTTGAATCTATGATGTCACAAAAATTAAACAATGCGATAATGCTTCCTAGCGTTAGTTGCTTTGCAGCATTTGATATGAAGAAAGGTTAATGTTATATAAATTACTTGCGGAACATTTATTTTAGCGAAAAGTTATATTCAGAGCATCATGTTCATGAGATCTAATTTAGTGGGAGTTTTAACTTTTGCATTTTGTCGAGTAAAATTAAAATTTCTGTGAACCACATACAGAGTTTTGAAGCAGTCATCACGAGTGTATGATGTTTTGGAGGAAATGATGGCGAGGACGTTGTTAAATTTGCATAATGTCCAGAAGAATTTGCAGTTTTGGCAGTCTAGAGCTGAGGTCAGGTGACCAACTATTTTGTCTTCAGCCACATGGTAAAAGTTAATGTATCTTTTTAGTAATTAATTTCTTTCTTAAGAGTGGCATTTCTCTTTCCTTGTAATTTTAGGGAACTGACTATCGAAGAGCATATTTCATGATTTTCGAGAGAGGGCCATTTGCTTTTGTTGATGGGGCAGTTAAGTTTGTCCGCAAAAGTGTGGTTGAGGGTTCACCAATGCAGCATCTTTTCCAATCTGCATCAGTTTACATGTCCGAGAGGATAGCTGTCTTGGCTGCTTTGAGATGCTCACTTGCGACATTTTTGGCTCAGGTTTGCCTCTGTTTTTATCAATTAGAATATTTGATAATTTGTCTTATATTTTATCACCAATCAAACTTCTTCTGTGCTCATATACTGATATCATTTGAATATTATTGTACATGGGATAGAGCTTCCATTCTTTCTTCCTTGCCAATCTTATATTACTGCCTTGTGCATTCCTCTTGAAATTGAGGGCTCTAAGTTACTGCTATTGTCAAGCAGTTGCAATATTGTAGCATAATTTTTTGTGTCAGGGCTGGAGAAAGATTCCACTTATGTGTCTGAATATTGTTCATTTATTTTATAAATGGCATAAAATCCTTAAGTGTAGGTAAAATAAAGTTCGTACTCACATTTGCATCTTTAGAAGCTGACAGAATTTGACTTGCAAAAGGAGAAAACCAGATGTTGTAGTTACAGTTTACGTTATAAAATCGCCCCTGAAAAGAAGGAACATACTTTCTCGGCTGTGATTTTAATGCTGTATTTACTTTTTAAAAGCAGTTGACTTACTGCTCAAATTACTAAGAATAGTCAGAATTGATATAACAGCATAAACAAATCTTTATGTATCTGATATTCTGTTCTCTTTAAAAAAATGCAAGCATAGATTTTCAAAATATAGAGATAAAACTGTATTGCGTAGAAACTGTTTGGGACAAAACAAATCAGATATAAACTCAGAATGTAATTACCCGGTGGCAACATATATAGCTTGTTAAAGCTTTGTGTTGTTCTTCCACAATCTTGTTGTATGCCAACCTCTATTCAAAATATCCCTAATACTCGGCAGGCAATTTACCCAGCAAAGAACACTTAAATCCCACTAAAAATACCAACTTCTCTAGTATGCTCATTGATCTTTTTGCTTATGCTTTTAGATGCTCAAGCTTTATGCTGAAAGCACAAAAAATTAGGGAGGTTCTGAGTAAGGGATTCAGTTGAACTCTATCATAGATTTAGAGCTTTAAGTTTTAATTTAAACACTAATTCTATCTCAAGCAGAGATAATATTTGGTTGAGCTTCATGCCACAGAGGGATAGAGCTTTCAGCTTCTAAAACAGAGCTAGTTTTTAAACTAGCACATGAGTTCGGTAAGAGAGAGTAGGTTAGGCTTCTAATTGACTTAGTCACCCCATCATGAGTACTTCAAACTCGATACAAGATCCATTTAAGTATGTTTCTTAAACTAGCAGACAAATGTCATGCACTATTATATGACTTATGCTGAAATTAGATAATAACATGTAAGCACATCTCTACTTATGTTCTATGGAAAATGGATCTTGCATATAGCATCTTGAACAGTGTGCTAAGTTTATGTGAGCATGAAACTTAGTATGTCAAAAAAGTTGGATAACCAAGCTTATTTATTGGGGGATTCATTTATCATTTTCATAAGTGCAAGGCAGGATTAACTTGGTACTAATGGGATGCTTGAATACATCCATACTTGATTGTCCTTTTTAAATCACTTGACTGTTAGAGTGGATAGGTTGAGAGTTTTAAGTTACATTTCAGTTATTCTCTCTCTCTTCTCTCACTTATGCATTTTGTCATCTGCATGAATTTTTAGAGGGAAAAATCTGGGTCCTGTTGGTTTCTTAAAGTTCACATTATATATGAAGTCCTTGCTTCCTAACGCATCATGAAGTGCTTTTTGTATGGTTTGTCCAGATTTATGTGGAAGTTGATAGATGCGGGGAAGAGTTAGTGAAGGATCCAGAGAAAACACTTCCTTCATTATTGGTTATAATTGATGGTTTATTTTTGGACTTGGAGGCGTCAATTGGCCATTTACATGCAATTCGTTGGGTAACTCTAATAGCATACACTGTGTACTGATATTTGGTTTTCTTTCCACTATTATAGATTACTTGGCATCTATCATCAAATAATTTTGGCTATACAATGACTTTGCAGAAATTCGAATTTATACCGTGTACTGATATTTGAATGCTTCATGTGATTGGATATTCTTGTCACTGTAACTCACTGATACTATTGCAGAGTGATTCTTCTGTTGATGGTAGCTATTCATTTCCTCTACTCTTTGAGAAGTTGCCAGAAGTTAATCAGGAAGGTTCTCAGTGGACTGAATGTGAACTCAATGATGCCATTAATGTGGTTTACAAAAATCTTCACAAACTGGATTCATATTTATCTCTGATGGTAAAAGATTCAGCCCCTTCTGTGCATTGAAACAGTATTTTAGTAATTGACAGACCTGTTCTGATAAGTTTTTTTATTGAAGGATTAATTGATCTTGAGATATGCATTTACTACTTGCATTACTTACCTTCTCTTAGGTTGCGAAGCACCGAAAACCAAAGAAAGTAACTTTGTGTTGGATCCGCTATACATGTGGTGCAGTTGGACTCTCAGTTGTTTCTATGTGGCTCCTACGACATAGTAGTTTGATGGGAAGCTCTGACATTGACAATTGGATTCGTGAAGCCAAGGAAGCAACAATTAGCTTCTTTGAAGAACATGTGGAGCAGCCGGTATAATTGAACTTGCTTTATGATCTCCAACTTGAACAATTTATAGTTGTTTGCCATTTTTCTTTAGTTTTTATTTCTAGGCAACTAGAGATTTAAAGAAATATGTCATTTGCTTTTAGTTGTAATCTAGGAGGCTTGCGACTTATGTTTTGTTGGATACGAAAAATGAAGCAGATGGTCAAAGTTGAACATATGTTGATAATTTGTTAGGATCATTTTCCTAAGGTATAGATTGATATTAATTTCCTTATAAATACGATAAAAGATCT